CCGTCGTCTCTCTCTCTCTCTCTCTCTCTCTCTCTCTCTCTCTCTCTCTCTCTCTCTCTCTCTCTCTCTCTCTCTCTCTCTCTCTCTCTCTCTCTCTCTCTCTCTCTCTCTCTCTCTCTCTCTCTCTCTCTCTCGTACTTTTCGCGTGCTCGCCCTTGTTCGACGGCAAGCGCATTCATGCCCGTGGATCGTATCGCTCTTGCCAGAGCCAAACACAAATACGCGCGCCGGTCATCCCGTTGTTCACACACGTGGAATTGCGGCCACGCACCGGACCGCCGAGCGCGAAACAATTTGCCAGTCGATAAATTTTTATAGAAGGTCGCACCGGCAGGGAGGAGGGAGGGCACCAGAGATGGGACGGTGGATACCTGCCACCAAAACGGAATTGAATCGATATATTTATGTACCGGTTACCGAGGGAAAGGGTTGGCGTTAGCGCTCGTGTAATTGCCGCCAGGGTAAACTTAATTTCGGGAGACGACCGACTGCCATGATGCCTAATCCGTGGAATTCGTGCGTCACTCCGTTTACGGTTAAAGGTGAACCGGGCGCAACCTGGACCTTGCTATCCGAGCCTTTCCTAACGCTCGCTCAATCTGTCGCTTCTTTGTGCCGAATAAATTAAACAAGCATTTGTTGATACAATTCGATGCTGATGTTGATTCTCATCCATGCAGCAAGCGAGGATCTCTCTATTACGAGTATCTATCTATTAAGGGATTATGGGATTAAGGGATAATTTCCTATTTTAGTTTAACAAAATGATTTGTATTATATGTCGAATTATAAATGAATATTTTATACAAGCTATTTATTTTTTAAATACTGTAATTAAATACAAATATGAATTAATTTTAATAAAATAAAAAACTCCACGTTTAGTTGTATATTTTAGGAACATCTCGACACTCTTTGTTCGATTGAAAGAGTAAATGTGATAATGATTCTCTCGAACCCTCTAGTTTTGAAATGTCAGGAAGCGATAATGCACGAGATCGCAATGAAGAATTCGAATTGACTAGGTACGAAGTGATATTTTCATGGCTGTCATCGGCGATTGAACTTTAGGCAATTGTACCTCGGGGACCGATAAAAGACCGATTCGTTTCATTATCGCCGTATCCGCTGACAATCCTCGCGGATTAATGCCCTTTCGTGTTCCACCGCGGTAAACGCGTCCTCGGAATTTATTGTAATTGGTCTTTTGATATAACGTCGCGGCGCGAGCTCACGTGCCGCGCATTTTCACCTCTCTTTCTCTCTTCTTTCTTTTCCACCTCTGTCATTTCCCCCTTTCCTCTGTCATTTCGTCCCAACCCTCCGCCAGCATTGCTATCGTCTGACCACTATTCTCCGAAATAACGATAATATTTTAGGAGACATGAACGATGAGTAGCGTGGCTGTTTTTGTTAACCTTCTGCAAGGATAAATAGTGCAAGTGATACTCGTACACGTAAATCGGACGTTTCTTCCTTTCCTGGCGTGATATCCGGGTCCTCGAACTTAACCCTGTTTCCTCCGACGAAAATTTTTCTCAGAACTTTTTTTTCTATATTCTAACATAGAAATTAATGATTTATTGTATATTTTTGCGTTTCTTTGATCTGTTTTATAAAATCTCACAGACGACGATTTTATTGCTTCCTTCTAAATATACTTGCATTCTCCGATGCTGCGCAAAACAACTTCTGATTCGTTCAACTTAATTTAAATTTTTTGTGCTTATCAAACAGTTTCGTATGACACGGCGTTCCTTTCCAGGTCGTGTCAGCCGGTGAACGAAGAAATTCCATTGCCTCGAGAGCGATAGAGCATCGCGCAGTAACGGAAGACAGGCGGCTGGGAGAGGCAAGGTCGGGATGTATCTCAGCAAACGACTCGAACTCAGAAACCGAGGTCGTTCGGCGAACGTACGAGAGACGAAACGCTCGAAACTCGAAGGAAGAGCGCAATGCACGGGGGGGATCTGGCGGCGGGGAGAAGCGAGGAGAGAGGGGAAAGGATGGTGCCACTGTCGACTACGGAGGGCAAAAGACGGGGGTAGCTGGCTGAAGAGGCAATATAGGAGAAAGCTTATTATTGGACTTCGCTGCACCCGAGAAGAGAACAAAATACAGGCGAGCAGTGATTGCTGTTTCCAATTGAACCTCCTCGCCACGCCACGCTCTCTACCTGAATGAACGCGCTAGCGGAAAATAATCAGGCCCCGCCCGGAGCTACTATCTAGCATTCGCGTATCCACCCCCGTTCTTACTCTTCTTCCGTCTTCGCGTATCGGAGTTGTTGCTCGACGTCCCTGCTTGTTTCAGGTATCGAGTAACGGCTAAGTAAACGTTCGTGAGAATTCTCATCTCATTTTCTTACTGCGTAGAAACTAGACTTGCTCAAATTATTTATTTCGACTTGCACGTACTTTGCAACAAAAGATATTAGAAAATAAAGCAAAATTTGCCACACTTTAACGTAGCAGAGTTACATATAAAGAAATGCTTACTTACAATATTTCCAAAATTGGATTATTTCAAAATATATTAGGATATTAATTAAAGATATATCAGAATGTATCGAAAGTATGCCAATAAATTGCTAACGCTAAACAACCCGATATATTTTCGATTCGAGTTAATATTGTATCCATATGTCCAATCTCCTTCCGGTCTCACCTGTCTCTTCAAGCGATGGTGTAAAGTAAAGTGGCCGCGGGTAAGAAGGCGTTTGTCGAGTGATGGGGTGGAAACGGGTCTTCTAGATAGGTTGCCAGAGGAGAAGGAGAAGAAAAGGTGGTGCGGGTGGGATGGTACGGGTGTAGTTGGGTGGCAGTAGGATGTACTCATCCGTTGCAGTGCTGCAACTAATGAGACATCGCTAAAGGGCACAAGGGTAGGTGGGTAGACACAGCGGGACATATACGCGCGGGGTAGTAGGCGATACACTTCACCTGAGACTCGGCTGCAGACTGAGATAGACGACGACGACGACGATGCCAACGACGATGACGACGACGACGACGACGACGACGACGACGACGACGACGATGACGATGTCAACGATGAGGACGAGAGTGCAGGCACAATTAAAACTGACGCTCCTAATGGCAAGTCAAACGCCGACGGGCTCAAGAGATTCTTGACTTTCCAATGAAGCGATTGTTTCATATTCCTCCGCGCGCCTCACCCGCCCTCACATCCATCGACTTCGCCCTGCCTTCACTCATTTCTATCCTCTCTCGCTCCGTCTCTTTCATTTATTCTCTTGTTCGTGCAGACCCGACACATGAATCCTGAAAGCTCGATGGAGCGAGAGACGAGGTCGCGGAACACGGGGGATGAGACCGAGAAACTTTAAGAGGGAGGAATCAGCTTAGATCTGTACACGTTTGCGCTGGCTTGGAGAAGGTGCCTGTCTGTCGTTAACAAACATGGCGCGTCCTTATCCAATCTCGATGTCTCACGAATCTCTCCCCTATCGCGTGATATATCCAACGTGTCTGTCACCTACGTCTTTCGATAAAATAAATTCGTAAGTTATTTTTCTTATCATAACATATTATTCTTCTTATCATATCAAATATCTCTATAATATATTTTTTTTGCGACAGAAATATTTTTAAGATAAAAATGACAGTATGTATAAAATGACATGTGATAATGTAATAACATAATGTATAAAATATATGAAAATTCATAAATAAACATTGTACAAAATATATAGAAACAGAATCAAAATTTGATCAAATTATCAAAAAATTCAAAGATATACATATGAATAAAATTGTAATAATGTGATTATGACTATCTATTTGTTTTTTTTTTTAGAATTAACGGAAGAACATACACTAATAATAAGAAAGAAAATTAAAGAAAAGGAAGAAGTAAAAATCATTCACAGCTAGATAAAGCAAATAAAACAATTATCTATTTTCTGTACGCAACATTTGATACAGTAGCATTTTAATGGATGAAAGAGTTTCTTTTATCTGTTATAAATAAAATTTAATAAATTATTATCATTTGGTATTAACAGACTTTTTACTTGTATGTAATTATCTTAGCAAATGAAATCGTTGCTCTTTATTAAATAGAGGAAATCTCGTAATTCTTATCCAACCTTTGCCCTACGACGTTTGCATTGCTAAGAACGGCCACGAATTGTTTTTCTCGAGGGAAAAAGAGGTAGGGACAACAAATTCTTCGTTTACAAAGTGGCATTTGGTTCTGTTAGCCAGTATGAAGCTTCACATCTACGGGTCGCCAGCTAATGAGCAGCAAATCTCAAGATAACTGCGAGAGCACGCGCCGCCGCACGCTGATAGCAAAAACGGAAGGAGAGAATAGGAAAAAAAATGCAGTAATTATTTGTTCTAGCTAAAGCCGAAGCAAACAACCAGTCGTTTTGGACTTCACTATTTTCGATGCAAATATCATGGAATTTTCGGACATTCGACGTCGCGTGATCTCAAAATCTCCAATTTATATGTGTTTTATTGTGATCTGAGAAAAAGTTTTAAAAAGATGGAGAACATAACTAAAACACACAACAGAAGAGAAATAATGAATAAAACATAAAGCACTAAATTTTTGAGAATAGAGAAAAGTTACGTTATAAAAATTATGTTTTTTGAACAGATCTACATGGAAGAAAGGCATATTTCTTTATTCTACTTTCTTTTAATGAAACCTGCGCATGATGATAAGACATGTACAGTCGAATTCCGGAAATATCGTGGCCTTTTCGACGTTATGTGCAATGAGCACGGAGTGTATCCTCGTATATCAGTCCAAGTGTGCTTGTATTTAACAAGCTTTCGTGTATTGTGAAGAACATACTTAAAAGGAAACCAAAAATGGGGGCAAGTAGCTCAAGCTCGGGCATAGAGAGAGGGAGGGGGGATTAGCGCAACTTCCAGCGGTGGCAGAGGAGGTGTGAGAATCAACGGAATCACTGTGACACCTCAGGCACTCTCTCATATCACACTCTTTTTCACAGTGAGTAGCGCACAAACAATAACAAACAACACTAATGAGGCTCTTCAATATCGTGGAAACCACAACCGTCGCCAACAAATGAGCGCAGCACTCCGATGTTCGCGACAAAGCCGAAATGATTATGCGACGTTGTTCAATACTCGGGTTCATATTTTGAAAGCTCTTTTTAGACAGTGATTTATCTACTTCTGTAACGTAGTTACGTCAGTATTCAAGTCGTTGCACACGGTGCGTGCAATTCGTAGCGGAATATAACTTTTTGCATACAAAATAAATCAGAGAAAAATTATGTTTTCATTATCAAAGATATTGTATGATTATATGATAAAGTTTTTTTATCAAAAAGATACAAATGATTGAAAGAGATTGAATAAGTTCGTGTTCTTTTAAAACGAGTTTAGACAATTTAGGATTACACAATACGATGATTTTCCCGCGATTTGCACCTAACTGCGATATCTTTCCTTTAATTTCCGTCATTATCTTCCATTCTGCAATACAACCTCTTTGTCCGTTAGCAACAGTTACAAAGTCTACCGTTGCAACAGCTGCGCGAGTATGCAATTAAACTAATTGGACTAAGAAATAATACCAACTGAGAAGATTGCACACCACTGAGCAGTCCTTGCGGAAACCGAGGTTTGCAATGATTATTTGTTCTTTATCGAGGGCGCGAGACGTGGCTCGCAACGTTGCACAGTGGTTCCGATGTCCGCAACACTGATATTATGTGGCTGCGCATCAAGATTTGAATAAATCGCGTCAAATCGGAGCTACAAATCGACACGAGCCAAGTATTAAATCAATACAAACCTGAAACCTAACAATCTACATTGTAAGCGTACATGAATATATAATAACATTTCGTAATGTCATTAGCCTTTCCTCTATTAATTCTTGTAATTGAAAGATTAAATATTTATCGAAGCGTATCTGGTCGTCCGAATGTATTTGTGCTGAATAATTTTACTGAAATTTCGGTTGTTGAGAAGCTGTAACAGAGCTAACAGAGCTCTAACGTTTCCAATCTCTGTGCCGATTAATAATTCACAGAGACCGGAGCGTCCACATGGTCCCAGACATCATCCGTGCGCGCACACGCGTTTGTCTGGAGCCCACAATCACGGCTAATGGATTTATATGGCTTCATTCTTTGCGCAACAATTAGATTTATTATCGTTAACGAGTCCGCCGACTTTCGATCGGCGCGGACAAAGCCGTGCCGTGCGCGAAGCAATTTTCTCCGTGAGCGTTCTCGCAGGTGTAACGGTGACGACGGGCGGACAGGGCTGATTCGCAAAGCAGTTTACACCGTTTATACAATGAAGGATCTTTGAGGAGGGCTAAAGCTTAATCGTCGCGCAAAATGCGAGGAGGCACGAGGAGGCGTACGGTAGTTTCCCGTCATCGTTTTTGCCATCGTCGCCGCCAATGAATTCATCGAAGTCAAGGCGGTGAAAACCTATTAGCTGCCAGTCAATAAACAAAGGAACGTTTTGGGCGATTTAATATTGATTAATGGGGAGGTTAAGGAAGCGTGGAGGCGTTTAGTCAAAGTTCTCTCTAAGGCAGTAACGAGGAGAAACCGTGGAACGGGAGAGAGAAAGTAAATGCTTGATAAGGAGAAAGAGCAAGGATAGAAAAGAGGAAGAGAGAGAGAGAGAGAGAGAGAGAGAGAGAGAGAGAGAGAGAGAAGAGAGAGGAAGAGAGAGGAGAGAGAGAGAGAGAGAATAGTGGAGAAAGAGAAAGACAGAGAGAGAGGGAGAAAGAGAGAGAGATAGGGAGAAAGGTGCACCGGTTAGTGTGCGTGCGCGTGTATGCCGAGCGATTATCGAATTTCCTCCCCGTAACAATGAGGTCCTATTAACTCCCACCCTCGGCGAGGTTCACCCGATATAACCCCCGCTTTTGTGTATTGTTAAGTCTATCCGCATTAAGCGATCCATAATGCGAAGTTACTCTTCGCGATAAATCGTTTCAAATTGCTGCGTCCGTTACGGATACCTGCATAAAGCTCGACATTTGATACAAAGCAGCGAGATCGGATTTTAGCTTTCGATGGAGCGCAGTATATTTCGAGGTATGCAATATGTAAAAATAATATGCGCAAAAGATAAAAAAATCTCGCATTTTATAAAAGACAACAATTACGTTAAAAATATTTCTAATAATTTTCTAATAATTAGTTAATTAATTATTTCATTCGTTGCAATTCAACTGTGGTTTTTAAAACGTATTCCATTTATGAGAAGAATAACAATTTTTACATAATTGCAAAGTAATACAAAGCTCACCCTTCTTTATACTTCACGAGCAGTTCGAGAGTGTGATTTCAACCAGAAGGCATAGCAACATGCTCTAATTTCTCGTTTGCGTTTCATTTTAAAAAAATAATGATTCCCTTTATCTTTGAAGTGCGCCAACTATCTTTCGTAAGCTTCCGACATGGTACACACTCTCGACTCGTACGCTCTAGAATTTCAGATACTGCTAAAAGATCCCCGCTTTCCGCTTCTTCTTCTTCTTTTGTTTCATTGTTTTTCTCTCGCTCATACGTCTTCGTCTGGTCGTCCTATCGTAGCACGTGTCTTGTTTGCTACGAAGTCCGCGACT